AAAAAAATATTTTAGGTACTAAATTGTAAGGAAAAATAATTTTGGGTGCCAAAACATAATTTGTAAAAAAAAGTAGTGTGTTGATTACGATCGACTCACTGACCCGGCCCGTCCCGACCCGACCCGACCTTCAAGAACGGATCAGACAGGATCAGGGACGGGTTAGACAAATTTTCAGCCCTAGTCATGTGATCAATTTTCCTCTGAAAATGACAATTAATCACTTCTCACTCCCCCCCTCATTGATCTCCTAGACATTTTCTAACTATGAATGAGTAACCTAAAGTGAAGAAAGAGTGGTGGTTCACGTTAAAAGAAAGTCCAGAGTGGTTAAACCCCTCTGCTTACTTTTTGCCTCTTCTCTTTTCTTCTTCTAGCTAATCAGGAATCAATGATTCAGTTGAAGAAATGTCACTAAAAGTAGGGTCAACGTATGTCCGCCACGTAGAATCACACTTACTACAAACTATCTTCTACCCCGGCCCGTTGGCCGGTTGTAATGTGATGATAACAATAATTAACAAAGTTTGAAATTTCAACAATTTTACTGTTCTTATATTCTTGCCATGATTATATATCAATGTCACACGAATTAACAAACAATGATATCGATTTTCAAAAATAGATAGCAAGGTTGTTTCCTATATTTTACCATTAAGAACGCCAAATTTTTTGTAGATAATGTTGATATAGTATATTATTATAAGAAAGTCAAAATATTCAATGGTTGAAAATGAGCATCCATCATAATGACTACTAACATCTGCCTTCTATGTTGATTTTTATTGAAATTCAAAATCCAGGACTTACGCAAGGATATATTAACTCATATAAACTTATTGACATAATATTATAGGTATTCTAAAGTAATTGCTATCACTCTTTTAGCATCAAGAATCTTCATCATCAACTCCACTATCTTCGTTAACAATAAAGCTTTTTATTGTTGCATTTTCTGTGAAGCAAATTCTAAACACAAAACATAATCATCTAGTAAAATGAAATTTTCATGATAATTTACATTTTCTTGGACACAAATATTGTTATTGAGCTTTGTAGCCTATTAAGATAATAGGTCCCTGAAGCTTAGCCCATCCTTTTTTTTTTCATCATGAATTATCTTCAAAATTGTTAACCCAGGTATGGAATTTGTGTTATTGTAATCCCTAAACTTGGACCGCAAGAGGGGCAAAAAATGAAAAGCCCAACTGGTATGCCCATAGTATGATTATGGGCAGTGGCGGAGCCACTTGGAGAGGAGGGGGTGCTTTGCACTCCCCTTGGGTTTGGAGAAAAAATTTTCGAGTAGGGGTATATACAAATTCGAACCAATGACCATTCAGTTGCAGGAAGAATTTCTTATCATTTCGATCGAGTGAGTTTTGTTATGTAATGCACTTTCGTCTTTATTTATAGTAATAAATTGTTGTCTTTTGTTTAAATTCGCTCATTTTTTTTTAGCTCTACAACAGAGAAATTTCTTGTCTTTTGTTTAAACAAAGTTGAAAGTGAAGAAGTACCAATTGAAGTTCACTTGTTTGTTTCACAAAATCAATTCCAAGGTACTTCTGAGTTCTAATTTGTAATATTTGATGAATGGAAGTCTTTATTTGTATGTACTGAACTTATTTGTTTGACGTTGTAACCGGTGTACGTGAAACTATTTTAATGTAATTGTGTGAATTTAGAGTATTGCGTTGTTGACTTTTTGTTTAATTTAAAGTTGACTTTTCTATTGTATAGGTGATTTTTTATGATATGATAAAGACACCTCCTTGGCCAATTTCCTGGCTCCGCCACTGATTATGGGGATAACAATGCAAGTGATATGGCCAATTCATATAGCATGAGCTAATATGTAAAAATGCAGTTAAGAAATTCCATAGTTGGGTTAACAATACGCAGCACACAATTTAAAAAAAAAATTACGCAGCACACAAGTCCCCCATATAATAGTTTCCATGGGGAAAAAACTTCGAATTATAAATTCTACAACTCTAGTGGTTTGCGGGAGCCAAAATATGAAAGGCCAAGTGATATGTGCTATGCATCGAGAATCGGGGAGGAAAAGACTAAAACATACTTCCTTGCTTTGTGGGGAAAGCAGGGAAAACTAAATTGGGTACTTCCCCAGCAAGAATGTACTTATATATGTGGGAGGATGGAAATTTGACTTGCCCATAATAGGGGTGTTCAAATAGTTACCATGGTTATAACCAAATCAAATAAAGCTAAATTTCATTAACCATGGAATACAATATCATAACCAAACCGTTCAAACTAATACAACAACCAAATTAACCAAACTAAAGTTTAATCGGGTTGGTTAATTGGTTAACCAGATTAACCAATATAAAATCACATTATCATTGACGATGAAAATTTTCCGGTTAATGCAACAATTCGCAATTTATATAATGAATAAAACATAACAACCAACACGTAGTTATAGTTGACCCTTAACAAAAATACATGCAACTAAGACAATTATCTTACGATTAGTATAGAAGTATTCACCTAACAAAAATTTATGACAATGGTATGGGTTAATGAATTGTTGTGTTTGTGTAAATTGACTTAGTCTCTTAGCAATTATCATAGGCTGGAAATGACCTTCCTTTCAAGTTTTCATCCATCATAATGTATGAAATTTATCGAAATTAGGCGTCCATATGTTGTGGTCTACATTTTACATATACAAATATACACTATATGAGCAATATTGAGCTTTATATTTTATGAGTCTAAAAGGGATGAACGCTAACTCTTGAGTGGTTATGCAAAGTATTAAGTATGTGTATATAATATTTGTCAGATATATGACTAATTACTTAACTGGTTAATTTGGTTTGACTGGTTAGGAGTGTTTGAAACCAAACAAAACCACCTAAACCAAACAAGCTAAAAATTTTAACCAAACCAAACCAATTATCCAAATTAACCAAACCAAATTATCCAAATAGTACCGGTTAAAACGGTTACCATGGTAACCAAACCGTTTGAACACCCCTAGCCCATAGTTTTTCCCTTTTCCACTCCTGGCCTTTTTGCTTTCCTTTACGGTGGTTCATGCAGTAATTTTATGCGTAAATAAAATTGAAAAAACGTTATCAAAATTGTAACATTCCGAACCTTTTCCCGACAATATATTATTTGATTTGAGTTTTACACCCGCACGGATTTCGACTTGGGGTGCAACTACGTGTGGCTTCCTATAATGTCACCCATCTTTGTAGTGCTCCACACTGAGCACGTTTAACTTTGGAGTTCTCACAAGAACTCCTTCATTTCACCCCAAAACGCGTCTTGTTTGTTAAGGTCGGTTTCTTACTTATGAACCATGAATTTCTCCCGTGCTTTGTCGATGTGGGATTTGCCTAACGTGTTAAAAATTTTGCCCCAACTTTTTTTTGGTTATCGAAACTTCTCCTCAAGCTATGGTTTTTACTTTTACTAGCTAGTTGCTTATAATTTTTTATTGGCCGCCAATAAATAAAGTAAACAAAGCATGAGAAAGTTGAAATTGAATTTTGTCTAATTTAATAAATTCCATGTATTCAACGATTGGGTTAGTAATTATTAATTAAAGAGATCTAAAATACACAAACCCTTTAAATTGAGAGGAGAGGGAAGGGCTTGTATTGGTATTTATATGTATTTAATGATATCACATGGCAACTGGAAGGTGGCGATGGTATGTGTGAGTTGAAATCAATTATCACCTAAATCAATTCTTAAGCTCCACTTAATTATTTGGTATTATTAGTTATTTAAGTTTTGGTATTTAATCCCATCACGCGGAATTGTGGATTTTTAATGTAAGTGCTTTTAAATTTATTGTGTTTGCAGCATATAACCTTGAGCATTAAAAACCACTGCCCAAATTAATAATAATTAATACAACTTCAAGTTCAATAGGCTAGTGGGGAAGAAATATCAAAAGAAAAGTCTTCGCATTGTAGATTGCAATGTGTGGGAGAGTAATAGTGAATTCCTGTAAAATCCACCTGCCTTTTCTTTTGTAAAAGAAATTCACATGCCCTTCCGGACAAGAAAATTCACTACAAGACTACAAGTATAAAAGAACATGGGTTTGATGAACACCTCGGTCGAACGAAAACATTTGACGAATGAATGAAAGTTTATGTCATTGGTTCGCATGCTAAATTCACTGAAGCGTCGTAGGGGAGCCAGTTTGTGAAAACTCGCTCAATATTTTAGGCTTTTCAGGAGAGAGGTTCCAGGTTTCTACTTTTTCTTCTTCGATTCTGGTAAGCAATACAATTTTTATTCTATAGTTTCTTTATAAACTTTTATTTTAATTTTTTTTATACATAATAGTATTAGTAATAATAATAATAATAATAAAACAGCTGTTATACATGCCATTGATTTGGTTAGACATTAAATATATTGGATGCGTTCTATTGAAATTTTAGGTGGGTTGAGAAGGGTGGCGATGATGGTGAGGACGTTTGTACGTGAAACCAAAGAACAGTCTCTTCCTCCACTGTTTTCTTCCATTTTAGTGAGTTCAGTTTTCATTGTCATTATCTTACGTATCATGTAAGGACAAATTAAATAAACTAAGTTTTTCCCCATTGTATTTGTTTTAGGGTTCTTCTTTCTTCTTCATACTTACTGAGTGAATGGAGAGGGGGAGAGACTATTTGCTCCAAATTTCTACCTTGTGCATACTCCATGGGCCCTTGGACATTTTCCCATTCATTAATACATTTCCTGGCCTCAATTTGCACTCCCTCCTTCTTCTTCTTCTTCTTCTTCTTCTTCTTTTCTTTATTATCATCATCATCATCCCCTTCCCTTCTACTACTACTACCAACACTCCCAATTGAATTCACATTCAATTCAACTCTCTCTCTCTCTCTCTCTAACACCCTCTACCTCTCCTTCCCCCTAATTAATTTTAAGCTTTAAAGAGAAGCCCATCATCCCCCCAACCCTTGTATATAATGCCCTTTAACTTGTTCAAATCGACCACCTCCAACCCCCACCCCCACCAAAAAAAAAAACTGTTTCTTTACCTCATCATTTCTCCCCCTCCTTTACCAAGGCTCTTCCTTTTCTTCTTCTGCTTCTTCTTCTTCTTCTTCTTCCAGCCATGGTTCAACAGTCCTAGCGCTACCCACCCACCGCTTTCAATCTTACCCACTTCCCTCTCTTTTTCTATTCCCCTGAACGTCACACAGTTGCAGAGATACCCCTTCCAATAAGGTAAGTGAAAAACAGAGAGAGGTTCAGCAATCCATCAAATTGTTGTTCGTAGTAAGCCCAATAGTTTTAGTAGGAATTTTAGCTCACCATGTGTGTTTGATGCTGTTTTGGCGCAGACAAGAGCCAGAGGAGGCCTCAGCAGCAGGATGAGCCGCAGGCACGACAACAGGAAGCTGGAGCTGAAGCTCAACATATCGCCACCAATGGGTGGTGGGAGCAACAGCAACCACCTGAGATTGGAGTCGTCGCCGAGCCGGTCGGCCACGGTGTCACCGACTTCCCCACCGAGCTCCTGCGTGTCGTCGGAGCTGAACCAGGACTCCGACGGTGGGTTGAGGTATTCCAACAGCCCCGAAGCGACTTCCATGGTGCTCGTGGGTTGTCCTAGGTGCCTTATGTACGTGATGCTCTCCGAGGATGATCCCAAGTGCCCCAAATGCAAGAGCACCGTCTTGCTTGACTTCCTCCATGACAACAACAATTGCAACATGAGGGGAAAGAAGTGATCGAAAACAAGTTTTCTTAGGATTTAATCATTATTATTACTATAAGTGGTTCTCTGTAGGCAAATCTATCTTCCTATCCATGCTAAGTAGCGCTATTTGCGCTCCATTTCTAAGCTTCATTCTCTGGCAGGCAACTTCACGAAAAAAAACAACAAATACAAAGAGGATGGCATAGCAGGCAGCTAAGTCGGATGAAGTGGAGCGCGAATAGCACTTCTTTTCTATTTTTTTTTTTTTTTTTTTTTTTTGGGTATGTGGTGGGGGGTGTTCTAGTTCTCCTTTCTTCGTGAGCAAAATAGGATTCAACATTATGGGCAATATCAGAAGACCAAATGTAAAACCGGTGTAGCTGCAGCAGCTGCCCAAATTTTCCTATGGGGAAAACTGCTTCGAAAGTGGCTTGTTTTTCTCTTTCTATTTTCCGTTTTCCCCATCGTTCCCTCACCTATGTTGTTACTTTTGGGTTATTTTGTACCACTTACTTGCTAACAAACCAATCACACCATGCCACATCAACAACAGCTGCAGAGTTCCAAAATTATACTGAAAAATGAATCGTCTGAGCGTGAATCTAACCAGAGGGGGTGGCTCCTTCTTGTCTGTGTTTGTTCTCTTCAATAGGGGAGTGCCTCGAAAGATGGGTGAACCACTGAGCAAGTGAAAGTAGAACCTGTGACCACAACCACAAGTTAGAAACTTCTATTCTCTAACAAAGAAAAAGCAGCAGTTGTAAAGACAGTACGGCAGCGTTATGACTTATGACTCTAAGAGGGTCCCAGGTTCTGTAAAATACGAGTCAAAATTTCAAAACAGCTTCCTGAGTAGAGATGGCAATGGGTAGGGTTGGAGCGGGTTTTGTCAAACCCAAACCCAAACCTATGGGTTTATCCGCCAAAAAAACCCTGGGATAAAACCTGTTGGGTTTGAAAAACTCAACCCCAACTCGCTGGGTATCTGCGGGTTCATGAGTACCCGTGGGTTTTTTTGGTATAACATTTACGATAACAAGTTTCTTTCAAAATAAAAGTTTAACATCAATTTTCTCGTGCAAACTAATCATACAAAAAACCACCAATCTAGAGCATACAAGCAAACCGCAAATGATCAATACAAATTGTTCAAAATTAAAGATAAACATCTATAAACAATAAGATTAATTGAAATCTTCTTCCTCGTCAACTAAGTTTCTTCACTCTCCACTTCATAATATCAACTTCATTCTAAATAATCAGAAAGAACAAATTATATATGTCTCCACAAACATAAAGAATATTAGTTGTTTAAGGAAGATATATTATTTAGAATATTAAATATACCGAGAAAGTAATTATATGTGTGTGGGCGGGTATCCATGGGACGGGTTTACCTAAACCCAAACCCAACCCGACCCGGTGAATAGTGTAGCGGGTTTAAACCCGAACCCAGCCCAAAACCCGTCAACACATGTTTTACCCGCGTTGACCGGGTTGGGTCGGATGGGTACTCGTGGGTTCGAGTTTTGTTGCCATCCCTATTCCTGAGTTTCTGTTAAAAGACAACCCATGGACCAAATGTGCCCAGTCCAAGGGAGAGAGAGTAGAGATGACAGCTTCCTAATCACAAAGGCAGAGAGTGTCCCCAAACAGGGCAGCTTCTATATCCTAGTACTGTGTTATGCTCTCTGTTGAAAAAGATACAATGCTGACTGGAGTTGACAAACCATACACGATAATAAATAAACAAAGTGAAGCAGAAAAGATACATGATATATAATTAGCAATGTTTAGAAGGATTTAGAGGTCGAGTCACATCTTTAACCAACTAAACCATTGAAACCCTAAACCCTACAGTTGAGTGAGAATCACGAACAGGGTCTAGAACAAACTTCTCAGATATAAAAACTTATCAGGTAATCCCAGGGTATGAAGTTGATGGGTATTAGTCTAAAAAGTAAAAGGTATAGGAAGGAGAAGGGCAATTGGGTAAATGGAGGAGAGCTAGAGGTGGCTTGGGTAGTTCGTCGAGCATTGAAATTTGAAACAAAAGGGGGGCTATATTAGATTGAAAGGGCCATTAAAAACACATAAATGCAAGAGTAATTGAGACAGTTGAGAATAATGAAAGGGCAAGGGGGAGAAGGGGCTATTACGTCAAGATGATAAATACAAATTAAATTCCCAACCCTTCAGCCAGCCAATCTATATTTTCATATTTTGTGTTCAATTCGTTCCTTCCTTTGCTTTCCTTTTCACTACTCTACTCATCACTCACTAAATGCTACCTTTCTGGTGCTATTCTCTATTCTGGTAAGTGAAACACTTTCTCCCTTCCCTCCCATCTTTCTCTCCTTCTCCATGTTCATCTCATTCAATTCTTGCTTCTGTCTCCCTTATTTTCCCTTTCCTTTCTCCCTCCCTTGTTTTCTCATCCATCTTCCTTTCAAACCCCCTTCTTTAACGCCTCACATGCACTCTTTCCCCTCATTCATACCACTTAAAACAAAAGAAAAAGAGAAGTAAAAAAAAGTCTACGAAATATGCAAGGCTGTGTTAGATTATAATAATAGGGAAATATCACAGAAATACTTCATATCATGCCAATAAATGCTCCAATATGTTGCTGAAATAACATCCAACAGAAACTCAGAGACTAAGAAAGCCTAGGTCATGCACTTAGAATGGTCCAACGAAAATAACAAGGCCATATCGTCATGCACACACAAACTAACGAGAAACAGCCATCCACAACCATTAAGAGAATAGGTGAGCAAGAGGGCTGCAAAAAAATGGCCTACCGAGAATGGGGGCATGGCTAGAAAAACACTCACTGGCTTGTTGGATTGGGGGCAAGTGCTTATGTCTCCAAGAAAGAATAAGAAAGCAATTCACAGATACAAAATAAATCAGTCAGCTAGTCAGGCAGTCGAATCATATCTAATTTTAACAAAGTTAAACAGCCAACTGTGCAACCATTTCTTTTGGCTTGCTGTTATTGCATTCATGGCTAGAAGCAACAGGTGATCAGACTTCAATCAAGTATATCAATGCGACAAATGAGCAATGAAAAATAAAGGCTTTAGATTCTGGTGAAAAATATAAAGTACATCCGTTAATCTAACTTTTCTACACTCAACTACACACTATCCTGGTGAAAAGATGTCTCCTCACAGTCTAGATCATCATCATTTATTAAATTATAATAACATTCCACAAGCACCATGTTCAATTGTTTGTTGTTTGTATATGGTGTGTCACATGATGGGTGTGTTTAACTGACATGCAAATCTAATTTGACTCGGGCCACTGCAGAATCAAATGTTTGCCACTTGTATTTCCTTCAACGTTAAGGAACTTCATGAAGCGAGATTAAAGATGGTTACGACTTATTTGCCAAAGCAAATATTTATTTCATCAATTCTACGTTTTTACTAGCTTACTACAGTATACATAAAACCCTAATTTATAACGATTCAAAGGCATGTCTGACTAAATGTTGGCTTCTTGTAGGAATCATTATAAGTTCTGAGGGAACTCAACAAAATCGGTTACCTTCAGAAGCATCATGCTTTTCCTTTGATCACCAGCCAACCTGCAGATAGAACAGCAACCTACCAATTGTACAAGGGTCAGTTCAGATAAACTAAACTCGACAGCAAGTGCATCAATGCCTCCCAAAAAAGAAAAGTCAATACAAAGGATTTACTGCACTCGCCATATTTATGTAGAGAATCATAAGGAAAAACAAAATTTTCTAATAGGTGAGTAGCTTTACCTTCTGTAGTAGTGATAGTTTATTAGTCATAAATGAAAAGTCTGAAGATTGGAGCTCAAAGTCAAGCCAAATAGACAGATATTGGTGCTGATGTACAAATATGACCAATATTCAGCTTGAGTGGACTCCTCTGCTTTGTATTATGCACATTTGGCACCTAGACGAATAAGTGCAACAGTCGAACGCGTACCGAACTCCATTTTCCAGAAAGGTAACCCTTACTTGATATGCAAACCTAGTAAGCATATTGAATACTTGATAATCACAGAGGAAAATTCCTTTCCGTGATAAGATTTTTCAGATGCAAATGCTACATTACAAAACTTAAAGCCTCATAAAGCCAAGTGAGAAGATTTGTGTCTATACAAATACAATGACGCATTCCATTTAAAAAAGCTTTCCATATCACACCATATGTTTAGGACATCAGCATACAAGCTCAAGTAAGGAAGCTAAGGTATGCAACGTAAAATGCATCTTCAGTCTTTCATGTGTTGTTTTAACAGGGTTCAACTCCAGAATTATCGTAACATGAGATATGTCCATGTCAGGTTTTACGAAATTGAACCGAGCGCAACTAAAAGAAAGGTCATTTGAAGTTACTAAGAGAAGAATGCTAAGCTATTAGTCTACGGAAGACTGAAACATGGTAAACTCAACCCTGATGTTAGTGGACAACCCACAGCAAGTTTAGATGTTTTGGCTTCACTCACCTCAACTTTCTTTGCTGTACTCAGACATGAAACAGTTACAAGTTTGATATAACAGACTAAACATAGCAGGATCGGTTCACGATGGTCCTAGGGAAGGAGAAACAAGCACGAACGCTTCCACGTGCCTAGTAATTTGAAATTTCTATGTAACTATAAGCTGAAGTTAACTGGGAAGCAGGGGGCAGCACTCCCAAAAGAACAAGAATATGATCATTCTGATACTATCTATAAGTCTTCCTTTTACAGTGTCTCTGGAGAAAAAAGATATGCATGTAACAAAACAGTGCATTTGGGACCTGTATGACCGTGAGTGGCAACAAACGAACATCATCAGCAATGAATAATCCAAACAATAAATTCATAATGATAGATTAGAGAAAGTTGGAAAATTGATTTCAGTTTCATTTAGAAACATATGCTCTCCATGTCAGCCCTAGCCACTCTAAAACGCAACAATATAAGTTCTAAGAGCTTCAAATATCAAAACTCCATCTGTGAGTTTACCTTTTCAAAGCTTCTCAAAATAAATACCCCTTAGACTCAGAGCATGGCTGAAAGTCAGTCTCCCGCAAGTCTTAACACGCCAAAAATCCATCTAAGAAACTAAACTTCTACTCATTCCCTTGGTCCAGTTCTCCCCATCCACTACTGCTTCTAATGTACTTGTCAACAATACGAAATTCATGATTTTGCTCCACCCTCCTAGCATAATTTTCAATAGATATAGGACCTTTCTTCAATCTCCTGTAATAGATAATTTCCCAGGGCCACAAGCGACCTGAACCGAAGTAAGTCTCTGGGCTTAAATGCCTGGCATCTTCATCTTTCAAATCTAGATCATAATGCTTTAGAACCATACACAACTCTTCTGAGGAAATAGCTATTGAATTCGAGGTACCAGGAATAACTGCCAGTTCAGACTCTGGTTTCATGATATGAGATGGCTCATTCTCTTGCATAACTGGATTTGAATTCTCATAAGCAACCTCCATTGGCCTCTTAGGGGAAGAACTCATAGCAACTCTCATATATTCCTCTGTTAGGGCTTGGCTTGTGTCTATAGCATCATTGATAGATGCAGACAAAATTTCATCGTCCATAAGCAGAGGCTTCCCTTTACTAACTTCACTTTCCATATCCAAAGATAAAACAGGACTTCTGGAATTCGCAACAGTCTCTGCATTTGCAAGTTCAGAAATCTCCATCCTAGTATCAGCTTCTACCGACGGTTTCTTCTCAACCATGGTCTCCCTGGACTCTGCAGGTTTAAAAGCACCCAAGGAACCTTTCAGATTGAACTGATCCTTATTTGGGGATGATGAAGGTTGTCCAAGTGACACAGACAAAGACAACGATGCAGGCGAGATGGATCGTGATCTCGACTTAGTAGTTCTACACCTATGTGATGTTGAACCAGACCTTGAGTCAGATGACAATGAACGAGCTTTAGAAGATATTGACCTCGACCTAGAACGAGCATAAGACATCCGAGTATGCTTTGAGGACCGAGGCACTGATCTGGATCCCGTGTGACCAGAATCGAGATGAGAAGAAACTGACCTTCCTCTCTTTCCGTTACGTGTCTTAGGTAATACACTTCCTTTCCTGTTTTGTTTCTTTCTTTCGCCATCCTTTATCTGTAATATGCTCACTTCCTTTCCTACTGGAGAGCTGTTATACTTTAGTGCATTGTGCTTCCTTGAGCCAGATGATTTCACATCATTCTTAAGTCTATCACTTCGCACAAGATCCCTCCCTGATCCTAGCGTTTCCCTTTCCCTAGATCTTTCTGTCTCATCTTTACTTCCCTCTCTCTGATGTACATTGTTGCCGCCCATTTGGTTAGACTTGGACCACTTTCTCCTCACAAAACTTTTCTCAGGACAATTCCTCATTTTGTGACCCAGGCCCCCACAGCTATAGCAAGCATCCTTGTGCTTTGAATTTCCTTCACCAATGTGATCTCTCCTTATAACCCCTCGGAAGCTTCTTTGAGAGGGAGACCTGCTGGAATGGTCCAATTGAGGGTTACCATAATCATTTCTGTCCTGGTAAGGTTCATACCTGTCAAATCCTACTCCATTATTTACATCATTTTCATTCACCACATTGTGGAGATCCCATCTATTATTTTCCACCATTTCATCCTCCCTGTAACTGTGATGCTCTTGACGAGGAAAATCTTTCATGCCATCGTGAAGGAAAGCAGTCCCTTCATCAACCATATCGGAATGAAACCTTCTTTCACGGTCGTCTTCATGCTTATCAAGCATTCTATAATCTTGTTGACCAAGCGAACCTAACCTGTCCCGACCATAAACTCTTGAAAAGAATCCACCATGCTTCGAGTCATAGCATCCAACGGGCCTTCCTCCATGTCTGTTGATTGGTCTAGGCTGCTTGTTTGACCATGTGAGCGTCAATGGCTGCCCACATATGTACTTCTTTTGTAGTGCTTTCAGGGCTTTCTCGGCATCTGGCGGGAACTCGTACACCACAAATCCATATCCATCTTTCATCCGTACGTCACACCGACCAAACTTTTGGAAAACACGTTCGAGGTCATCTTTGTGAATGCGGGATGACAAATTGCCTATGTATAACGACATCTGCACACGAAAACTGCTCTATTACACTTCCTAACGAGAGTGAGGAACACTAGCTCTCGTCAAAGCATGTAGGCAAAAACTGAAAGGGACTACGACATTTCTATCAGCGAACCTTACCCAACACCAGTTCACGAGCTGACAGCAACATAAAGAACGGGAGGAAAAGGTGCACTACCAGATGGGAAATTCCGTCGAACACCTCGTATGCAGAAAATTACACGAGGAGATGGATTATTTGAAGAGAGGACAACGGACGATTACCTCAAGAGAGAAAGCTGAAATATGCTAAAATTGGTGCTGCTACTCGGAAGTCCTATCGGCAATTTTTCGGAGTCCCCGTAGGCGCAAAATTGAGTCTGCGACAACGAAAGCGGCCCGCAGCGTCGAGTGGGGAGACAGAGCGTTTACTTGCTTTTGGCAACCAGGTTAGAAAGCGATTTTCTTCTTTTTTCTTTTTGGTAAAACAATTTTTTTTATGTGAAACAAGGTTGTCAACCCGTTGGTTGACTCGGACCCGATGAACCTAGTGGGTTAAGGGTTAATGGGTCACCCGGTTTAGCCTGTAAATATGGAAAGAGTCATTATATTACACTTATCGTGATAAATTATATCAAATCTCATCTAACATATGAGTTATAACATATAATATTACACTAAAATAACATGTCGTACTTAGATCCAACATATAGTGAAAATTCACACACAATTATATAACAACAATATTCAAATGTTCAACTTACAATTTCAAAGATTGAGTTAGGCGAAAAGAAAATCGAAAAATAGGCGCATTTCACAAACCAAAGAAAAAAATGACACAATTTGACATCTAACCCGGTACCTTGTAGCGGTCGACCCGCCGGGTGCGTGCAGCTCGTTTTTCTCACCGGGTCAGGGTCAAAGTGGGCCGACCTTGTGATCGATCCGCGGGTTGACAACCTTGATGTGAAAGGGCCAATGATTTTGGTTCAGCGTTGTTGCAAGACCATCTACAAGGGGGTGTCAAAGAGAAAGAAAGTAGGGTTGTAAACAGTCATGTCCTGATCCTGTCTGATACGTCTCTGACTCTGTTTGATCCGTTCTTATATGGCTAACTTGTATAACTAACTCATCTCATTCCTGTTGACCCTATCTGACCCTCTAGGGATGGACAGGGAAGGGTTAGTGGGTCGGCTCAACTCAAAACACAGATTTTTTAAAAATTATATTTTGGTACCCAAAATTATTTTTTCTTACAATTTGGTACTTAAATTATATTTTTTTAAAATAAGTCGGAAAAATTAAAATTAAAATTCGACGATATATAGATCAATTAGAAGCATTTAAGATGAATGAAATCACCAAATATCTTGGAGCTGGACGGATTAATGCATGGTTGGATGACATGAGGATGATAATGCATGGGAGGTTTTAATCACAACCATTTTCATGGGATTCGTCCACGCTTTGCATAGAATGAATAGATGGTGGGTTATTTGTGGAGAGGCAATGAAAACGAGAATGCACATGTGAAGAATGTCTAATTCAGTTTGGAGTCAAATTAGAGTCAAGCCTTAGAATGGAGTTCAGAAATCATTAAAGAAAATCTGCGACCACTAAGGAGAAACAAGAAGGACGCATGGCAGCTGCAGCGGTGCGGTGCACTTTGGAGTTTAATTTGTTTTAATTATTTTATTTGGTTATGTAGGACTTTAATTAGTAATAATGTTGGTCCTTATTAAATTAGTATCATGTTTCGTACTTAGTTTGGGACTTGTTTTCATTTTTCCAGAAGGTTAGTTTTATGTTTTTTGTTACCTTTATAAATAGAGGATGTAAGACCTACGAGTTTAACAACCAAGATTCATAAATCATATATCAATAATATAAGAGTTTTATCTCGTGTTCATTTGTGAATGTTTGCTCAAATCATTTGTCGAGGACTCCGGTAGGTTGTACGTTTCAACTATAAGGTCGCATCTAGTTTGGCGAGCTTCTACCCAAATAGCGATAAACCCTTCCAACAATGGTATTAGAGACCGATTCAAAATCAATGGCAAGAAGAACTTTCTTGAAGATTCTTGGACGTTCTAGAAGGTGTTCGAAGGATTTCTTGAAAATCTTTGACGTGTTCAAAGGGTTTCTTGTAGTTTATGGACATGTGAACGAGTTCTTGGAAGGTTTCTTGTGATTTTTGATTTCTTGGAACGCAAGAATGGAGGACATGATCAAGAACTTTGCGACACTGATGGAGGCATTGCTTCAAGGACACACACGAATGGAGGCCAACATTGCTCGAATGGAGGCTTTAGATGGGCGGATTAATGCGCCAGCTGTGGTAATCCAACCTGAATCTCCTTTGACAATGGATAATCCGAATCCAGAGCAATCAATTGTTTGAAGCTACCATTGAAGTACAAGAGAAGAGTCCAAAACTCATTGTTGTGATGGATTATTACAATCAAATGGTGGTTCAAGTAGAGCAGCTACAAGACATTCAAAGAAGATGTTCTTGTTGATGTACCAGTTTTGATTGCGCTTGAAGTTGAGCAATACATTGAGGAATCAGAATTCAAAGGAGGAGATGAATGCTCGAAAACTCTGGAGCATTTACCAATCGTTTCCCTATAAAGTTTCAAAGGCAAATCTTCTTCAAGATATAGGAAATGTTGCAATATCGACTAGCACGATATTTGATTCCCGTGGTCCAAAAATGATGATTCAAATTCAACGATATATGGATCAATTAGGAGCATTTAATCATTGTCTCAAGTTTACACTTATTAATGTACTTATGTTGCGTATTTAGGTTGAACGAGCAGGAAAAACTTTTCAGACCGGCCACTAAAAAGGATTTCAAGTTGATGCATTGTTGGGAGATTCCTCGACAGTGTCCAAGTTTATGCAACAATATTAAGTCCCCATAGCACCAATTCCATCAATGGATGGATCTACATCATCCATGTTGTCCGCGCGATAGTGACAACCCTGACGTCGACGCGAGTGCCACTCTTTTTGTGACGAGTCGCCCGAAAGGTCAAAATAAGCAAAAGAAGAAGAAGAGAGGAATTCCTTATTCTTCCAATGAAAGTTGGGATAAAAACATGGCTAGTTTGTCGGAGAATTCAAACATCCGTTGATAAAAACCAAAATGGTGTTATTTAGCCTCCATTTATTAGGTGCTATTATGTCATTTTGAGCATGATTAGATCTATATAATGTCATTAGTAGCCTAGATCGCTTTCTCCTGTCATTTCATGTCATTTTGAATCGCATTTGACGTTACAAGCGAAAAAAGGAGAAATTGGGGCTAATGTGTAGGAAAAAGGAGGAAACACAAAGTTCGCAGCCAAAGGAGCAGGATCATGACCGAGATTCACAGCCAGCGAAGTTGACCTCAAGATCACTGGCTGAAGAAGTAAGATCACAATCACGATCTTAGGCCTCTCGAGCATGAACTTCAGTAAGAGGCATCAAGGGAGAACACAAAGTTTAGACAGTCAAATCATAGTCCCCCGCTTTCCGAAGTCGCAAAAAATATCGCTATCGCGAGACAAAGTTTGCAGCCGCAAACCTAGGGAACGATTTCCCGTTTTGTCCACACTAAACAACAGACCTGAAGATCGCCGGCGTCATGCCCAGTTCAGAGATGCCATCTTCCACCTCGTGATGTGAACTTGCTCGAGATCTCCAAGGGCTATAAATCGAGATATTGGTAGAGGAAGTAGGGAGAGCCAATTTCGAGTGAGAAAATTAGGGTTTGGGGAGTTTTAGAGTGAGAAACACCTTGGGAGAGCTTAGATGAAGATCCAATCCACCCAAGGGACAAGGAGGAGAAGATGATTTCCAGCTCTTCCCCCTTCTTAGTTTGTATATTCTTCGTCTCTCCATGACTCAAACCCCTATGGTTGTTTAGGTAAAATGAACTCCAGTATGTAGATTTTTTATGGGTCATGTGTATGAGTGATTATGAACCTATAATCGATGTCTATTTGATGTTTTTTGTGCATAATTTCCTTGATTGCTTGTGATTGATTTTTTGTTAACCTAGTTGAGAGTTCCATCCCCTTAGGTCAAGAGTCCTTATACATCAATTAGTGTAGGATTGTATGTATCCCATTTGTCTTGCACAACCGGTAGTTGTCAATTTTTTGGAACCTCACTTGTATGATGGTTTTGTAAAAAACAAGGAACCGTAGCTTTATCAACTGTCGAGGCTGAGTATATAGCTGCCAGCAGCACATGTACTCAACTTCTTTGGCTTAAAAGTCAACTTCTAGATTATGGTCAAAAAAATTTATCAATCAAATGTTTTGTGATAATACTAGTACCATCTGCATGACCAAAAAATCTGTTCAACATTCTCGTACTATGCATATAGAAATTAAGTGTCATTTTATACGAGAATTAGTTCAGGCTGGCACAATCAGTATTCAACACATCCCCACAGAATTTCAATTAGCCGATTTGTTTATAAAACCCCTTTCGGTTGATCGATTTACTTTTCTTAGTTATGAGATCTGGCTTCGATCAAGCTCAATCTTAGGAGACTAATTGATTGCCTTCCTTATTTGTGTGGTGTATATATTTTTCTTCCTATCCTGTACGTACAACTTCTTTCCTTTCTTGGATATTTTTTTATTTGATTTTCTTATGTTAGCTTTTCTTTTAGCTTATTTAAGTTTTTTTTTTCTTCCCTTCCTTTCCCGCCAACACTTACCTTCTTTTACCTTCTTTTCAAACTTTTCACCCTCTTATAAAAATCCCATCATTTCGTTACCTCATCTTCATTCCATTTGTCGTCCCTATCCAAGTTGTGTCCACCATGTCATCCTCACTAATCATAACCCAAGCAACCACCTTCTTTGTCGAACCCAACCTACCAAACCTCCACGCCATGCTGCTCACTTCCTTGGGTGGGACTATCTCCTTCTTAATATCAACTAAACTCATGTTTTATCTGAGGATGCTATTCGGTTCTTCTACTCAAATCTTCGATCTCCGGGTATTGAATCTTGTAGCTTTACCTCCTTGGTTCTTGGCATCATGTTCACCTGCTATGTCAATGATTTTGGACATATTATTGAATTTCCAACTTATGATCCCACAACTTGTGATGAATCTGAACTATGTCACACGGGTTCCAGGTTCATGATGAAATTGGCCGCCTTACGGGCCAAACCATTGTCCTTCCGATATCTGATCATGTTCTGATTCTTCCTCCCCGCCTCCGAATTTTTCACTATATCCCCGCCCACTTCTTCCTCCCACGTGATGCTGATCTTGACCAATTTCTCCCTCTCGACGTCTGGATTCTTGCTCACGCAGTCGAAGGTAGGCCTCTTAGCTATCCACATCTCTTATCTGGTGGATTCCTTCCATACCGTGATCCAGATCTTCAGGATCCTCTCCCTCTCGACAACATTATCTTCCATTTCCTGTTCGTGTTGAAGATGAAGGAGAAGAAAGGTATATAACTCAAGAAGACTTCGGAAGCAATAATCCCTAGGATCATTTTCACAATCAATCTTTTGGGTTGCTGTTTATGTCTGGACTTTTGGAATTTTGTTTGGTGGTTTGGAATTTTTGCTTCTCTTTGGAATTTGTGTGTTGAATGTTGCTTGATGGTTAAGTGTTGGACATTGTTTAGCTGTGAACCTTTGATAGCTTCTTGATTTATAGTTGGTTAAACACAACAGGTTGTGAACTTTGGGTTATTTTACTAAGATGATTTCAACTCTATAAACTCTTATACTTTTAGAACAAAATTATGCTTTCTTATTCTTTGTCGAAAGGTTCTGATATGAGGATTTTTCAGAAATAGAACTGTTTAAATTTTTTTTCCAAATATAGCACTTAACCCGGAAAAATTCCAAAAATAGCACCATTTCCCAAAAACCCGCAACCCGAATCAGCGGTTTAGGCGAAAAACGCCACCCAGGAGCGCGTTTTTCGATGAAAACTTCACGGGTAGGGGCGGTTTTGCAAACCGCATGGGGCCGTGGCGGTTTGGTTGCAAACCGCAACCCCCACCATGTGGTTTTGGTCTCTTTTTTTTTTAAATCCTAACCTAGGTGGAAACTTCAAACGAACGTATCTTTGTGTTCGGGTATCCGATCGTCGCGATTTTTTTATTCCGCATAAATTTTCGAGATTTTGCAAGCCGCAAACCGGCGAAGGCAGTTTGGTCTCACCTTCGTGTGGAAAAAATGTCGTTTGCTACCCCGAACGAGCTTTTTTCCGATTTCGTCAAACTTTGGACAACCATAACTTTGTGCCCCAAAATCCAAACGACATGAATTTTTTTTTTCATTTCGCTTAACTTTTGAAGGACTACAACTTTATCATAGACATAATTTCGAAATGTACGTGGATTGGTGAAAAGAGAAGGTAAGCTGTTCCCAAAATCCTGTATATCCAAAAATATTTTCTGTTTTAAAAATACATTCCTAGTAACAATTGTAGTCCTTAAAAAGTTATGCAAAATGAAAAAAAAAAATTCATGACGTTCGGATTTTGGAGCACAAAGTTATGGTTGTTTAAAGTTATTGAGGATTTTTAGCTTTCAAGGAGTAAAACTTTGTCAATATATTATTGTTTCATGAGAAGAGTTGTAGTTTAGTGTTGTAGATGTTGTGCTAAATTTAGTAAGCTATTTATGGGTTCGAACCACCATTCCCAAAACATGTTGCTTTTTTATCTCTAAAAAATAAAAAATAAATGCAAATGGGATGGTGGGGATTCGAACTCAAGACTTCTTGCACACAATAGACAACGAAACCAATTGTGCCAATACAACTTGTGATACTTAATTTGAAAAAAATAAATATATATATTACAAACCGCATGGTGGGGGTGCGGTTTGCAACCAAACCGCCCCAGCCCCATGCGGTTTGCAAAACCGCACCCTATTAGTGCGGTTTTCATAAAAAAACGCGCCCCCGGGTGGCGGTTTTTGGGAAAGGGTGCTATTTTTGGAATTTTTTTTAAACGGTACTATTTCTGGAAAAATCCCTCTGATATGCAGGTTGATCACTCAAATCGCAATATCGAGTTTAGGGGGAAATTGTTGAAAGAAAATTGATATTGCTTGGAGATCAAGAAGCTTGTGGTTCAAGTTGAAATCAATCAATCATGATTGTTGAAAGAAAATTGATATTGCTTGGAGATCAAGAAGCTTGTGGTTCAAGTTGAAATCAATCAATCAATCATGATTGATTGATTGCTAAATCATAGCTCAAATTCCATCAATCAAGCATGCCAAATTTGAATGAATGAGTTGTTTACAAGTCATACCCATATCACCATTCGTTCATCATCGGCAGCTATAAAAGGAGTTGCACATTCACAATTCAAAATCAACTTTTGTAAAGAGAAAGCGGTAGAGGGCTTTGGTTTGCAAAAGGGCTCAATAATCTGAGGTAGAGGTTCTGATTGATTGAGGTTGTACGGGATCTAGGTTTGGGTCCTGGGAAAATCACCATCTCCATTATCGAGTCTTGTTTTCTTCTTCTCCTTCTTCTTTCTTCTTCTTCTAAAGATCAAAATCAATAAAAACAGAGTCTTCTAGAATCAGCGTGCTGGTTCTGGGACGTGGACTAAAGCTATCCTTGGCCGAACCACGTTAAAATACTGGCCTCCGTTTACATTTCCGCACCTTTACTTTGCTGATTTCGCTTTTGTTCTTCGTCTCTGTTCGTTGCTATGGGAAACATAGTCCTTCTCTGTTCATTCTTCCCAGCTGCAGAACAAGAACTCCGAGTCTTCGAATAAAGGCCGCCTTTGTTGTACTTGTTATTGGGCTTCAACTAGAGCTCAAACTAAAGGAAGAAGCTGGGTTTGGCGGAAGAAATAAAAACGTGTTTATTGTTTCTTCTCATTTTAATTTGTTTTTTAATTAACATTTAAGTGCCCGGAAGTAAGTTTATAGTCAATATGTCAAATCATGCATGGAAATCCTCATTATAACACATGATGAAGGACGTGTTGATATCCTCCACTGTTGGTGCACGTAAGTAATGGGCATCGTAAATGGTCATGATAGCCTACAGTGGCGTACCCAGGATTGTCGGAGAGATGTGTCGCCGATAAAATAAAATAAAAATTAAAATAAATAAATAAAATTAAGTAGAAATTTAAAAAAATTAATTCATAAAGTTCACAATGTCATGTTTACAACGAATCACTAGGGTTGTCCGAGTTTTTCCGAGAGGCGATCGGAGCTTAGTGAGACTGATCCAAGTCCGATCTGAGATCTGAGAGTCAAAATAAGAGGGGGATTAGGAGAACAACCAAAAGAGGGGTAGCATCAGAGAAACATAATCTCAAGCTGTTTCAGCGTTTGAGGCTTTTTACAATCTGTGAAGGAAAATGAGAGGAACTTGACACACAAGAAAGAAAACAGAGAATCTCTGTTGAGGGGAGACTTTAAAAGAGGAGCAAGCCGAGCAATGGAGGCCAAGGAACTAGCATCGACAGGTACAGAGGAAGGGGTGGAGGAGGATCCAGCACCCAAAACCCTAAGCCTGGAAGAGCAGCTTGATAAGATCACCTTAGCGGAGGACGACGAGCCGCCATTGGAAGTAGAAGACTCTGACGTAGACGTAGTGAGAATGGAGGCAGTTAGAAGACTAGGGCTTGTTGGCCGTCTGATGGCGGAAAAGCAGCCCAACCTGAAGTCATTGAAAATAGCATTAGAAAAAGCGTGGAATCTCCGAAAAGGGTTCCAGATCACAGACCTCAAGGATAAAATTTTCGCTTTCCAGTTCCTGGAAGAGGATGACAAAAATAAGGTCATATTTGGAGGGCCGTGGCACTATGAGAACAATGTGATAGTGTTCAAGGAATGCCTGCAAATACAAAGAACAAACCCGAGTGACTTACACTTGATAGATCTATGGGTCCAGATTCGTGGTTTCCCAGCAGAGCTAAGGACAACGCAGATGGCGTCCAAGATTGCAACAAAATTTGGGGAATTAGTCTGGTTCGATGATACAGGCTACCTGTGGGACGAGCATATGAGAATCAGGGTCAGTCTATCAATAAACAATCCACTGAAGAAGAAGATAAAGTTAAGCATAAAGGGCAGACTAGAGGAATATCAGGTCAAATATGAGAAATTGCCAATGTTCTGTTACTTGTGTGGGCGAATTGGTCACCCCAAACTCAGATGTGATAAGCCATCAAGAATTGTGCCAGATCCGTTTGGAATGGAGCTGAGAACGGATGGACCAGGGCCCAAAAGCTGGCCTTCACGAGCAGCGAGGAGAGAGGATGCAGAGGTGTGGGCGAAACTGCGGGAAAAATTCGAGGCGGAAAGCTTAGGATCTAATTCGGACCATGATAGATCTCTTCCTGAAGAGCGAGAGGTGATCAGGCAGGGAACTCAGGAAAGGAAAGAAGAGGGAGACAAAGACATCCAAAGTGGGGATAAGGAGGAAGAGCAGATGGAAGTGGACAAACAAAGTGAGGTGCAGCAGAGCACTGGGGAGAAAAGACAAGAGCCAGAAGGAATAAAACCGATGCTGAACTTGCAGAAGGGGGCTCTCCAACGTTTTGCAATGGGGAGTGAGGGAATCAAACAAGGAAAAAGACCAATGGGCAGAGTGTGGAGGCGCCAGGAACAGAATATTCCAAGGGAGAAAGCTGGGGTACAGGTAACTCCACAGAAGCGAGCAGCTGCAGAACCACAACAAGTAGTAGCAGCTCAATCCAATGGAGAAATGAGCCAAAAAAGGGCTCGAACATTGAACTTCAATACCCAGCGGGTGGAGGAAGTCAGAGAAAAGGAAACCGGAAGAGGAATGGAAGCACAACAAAACCAACAGAAGGATGGCGGAGTGGCGGGCCCTGATAAAATTCAGGGCCGCCCAGCCCAATGAATCTATTGAGCTACAACTGCCGGGATTGGGGAATGCCCTGGCAGTTGGGAAGGTGAAGACGCTTTTGCGTCAAAAGAACCCCGACATAGTCTTTCTTATGGAGACTCACTTGTATGATGGTGAATGGGAAGCAAAACAACAAGAGTTTGGGTATGAAGGAGGAAAGGGAGTAGCAGCAGGGAGAAACAGGTCAGGGGGCCTATTGATGTTATGGAAGCAAGGAATTGAGCTACAGGTTAAAGGAAAGGATATGAATTATATAGATTGTGAAGTGAAAACGGAGAATGAAGATGAGACATGGAGGCTAACTGAGTTTATGGTTGGCCAGAGGGTCGAAACAAAATCAAAACTTGCGAGCTGTTGAGATGGCTGTCAAACTTTGTGGACAAACAGTGGGTGCTAATGGGAGATTTCAACCTAATCACTGACTATATTGAAAAAGTGGGAGCTGTAACCCAAACGTCAATGAAATGGAGGAATTTCGAAGAGCTTTGGAGGACTGTGAACTAGAGGACCTAGGGTTCTATGGGAACTGCTTCACTTGGGAAAATAACAGGGAGGGGGAGGCCTATACTGAGGAGAGGTTGGATAGGGTGGTTGCGAATAGAAGATGGTTGGATAACTACCCTTTGGCGAGGGTCTACCATCTCCCTAGATGTGGATCAGACCATATCCCCATATTGCTACAACTAAACCCAGAGGAGGAGGAAATTCGATGGGGATGGTCATTCAGGTATGAACCATATTGGCAAAAGCATAAGGAGTGCAAAGGGATAGTGGAAAAAGGATGGCGAGCTGGTTCTCCAGGAAGCCTAATGGAAAGGGTAGCAAATTGTTAGAAGGAATTACTGCTGTGGAGTAAAGAAGCTTTTGGATCTT